CAGAGATAAATTAGAGAGCATGGCAGAAAAAAGGGTGTTTGTAGCTTAGCTTAGCTTAGCTTAGTGTGTGTGTGTGTGTGTGTGTGTGTGTGTGTGTGTGTGTGTTTAAATGCACATGTCCATGGGTGTCTGTGTTAACCTGTCTGTCTGCCTCCTTACAGCATTTATGTCTTTTGACAAATAGGAAACAGCTTCAAGTGCCTCGCAAAAAGCATGCCTGCTTCCCGCCATTTAAGAGCAGGACAAATTGGAGCGGGGTACTTTCACAATTCAAAGCAAACAACATGATGGATTCTGGCAGGGATTTCCTCCAAATCAATAGTCATGCTTTTTCAGATGGAATGTAGCTGGAACATCTGCTGCCCGAGGTCTGACCAACAGGTGCTGCTGAGCAGCGCAATGTCGTGAGAACACAGAGTCCGCTGGGAGCAGGGCAAGGCCAGGTGCTCCAGACTCCATGTTCATCTGCAGGGGAATCCGCTTTATTAAACCAAGCAGAACTGTACACTTGATCCAGGACAGAGCAGAGTTTAACACAGGGCCAGCTCGCCCACGCAGGCTAACATTGCCTAGTGAGGCTCTGCACAGAGAGGAACCGGGTTATTCACCAAGCTTCTTCTAACTCCTTCACATCCCTGTCTGTCACAACAACCGCTGTTGATGCAAAGCAAGCACAAAGATTTTTAATTTAAAGTTAGGAAATGTGGGACATGCAGAGGGGAAATACTGAAATTTTGTCACTATTGCTAATAGTCTGCATACTGGGGGAAATTTACAGAGGGAAAACTATTCAGGGGGAAAACTAACTGAAACGACACTTCACCCAGAAATGTTTGTTTTTCCCATTTTGGCGGTATTGACATAGCTGTTCCTTCGTTCCGGCCTGTCCTGTCCTTTTACAAACACACCCAGGTGCATTTTGGGAGTGTTGCAGCCAGCCAACCTTGTCGCTGCAAGCCTTCACCACGGCAACAAGCCCAGTGGAATTGATGATTTTCAACACTTCACCCTGAGGGAGTGTGTAGATTGCTGACGATGGGGACTGCAAGGTGTGTCTACATAAAAAGAAAAGACTATTACCAATAAGATTAGAAACTGGGTTATTATTGAATTTTCTAAAATCAGGCTAAATACTACATTTTCACACAACCCTGGCGATTGCATGTTCCTCCAATACTCAGTATTCAGACATGCTGAGCAAATCGTTTTGTTAATTTGGGTTTTGGTGCCAGAAATGGTGTGATATTTCACTGAGAGGGGAGAATAGTAAAGTCCAGCTGTTGTGTTTGACAGCTTCAGGGCACAGCTGGTCTCGGTCTGTTCGTGTGTGTCTGTGTGGGGGTGGAGTGTGTGTGTGTGTGTGTGAGTGTGTGTGTGTGTGTGTGTGTGTGTGTGTGTGTGTGTGTGTGTGTGTCTGTGTGTGGCTGGCTGATATGCACGTAAAAGAGTGTATTACTTATCCAGTGGCTCACATCCGTTAAGTCCATTCACTTTAATTTTGTGAAATTTTTAATAGCTGATGTAACGAGGTATGATGTTCACCAGTTAATTAAGACTTTGAAATGATATGAGGCTGTAATGCGGTATTAAATATTAGTGAGATGGAGATATAAAATCACTGAAATCCATCATTATTTAAACACCTCTGGCAAGGAGTAGATCTTTGCAGAATATAATAGGAACATCAAATTATGAATATTTACCGAGTAAGATTGTGAAGATTGATCCAATCTTTTCTAACTACGCTTATCAACCCTTCCTCCCCTTACACTGACCTATGGGACTCCTGTAGATGGATGGAGGGAAGGAGGAAGGATGAGGGGTAAGGGGTCCTGTCCCCTGGGTGTGGTGGGGAGTTAGATGAGACTTGGCTGTAACCCACAGGGATCAAAGGCAGCACAGTCAGACGCAAACACCGTCCTCTCCTCTCCCCTTGTCTCCTCTTCTCTCCTCTCCTCTCCCCCATTGTTCTCGCCTCTCTTTCTTATCTGATCGGGCATCCACTCACTCCTATTTGCAATTCTAATGAAAATCAGACACCTGCCCTGCCAACCTTCGCCCCTCTCTGCAGATCCCTGCCACAACAACAAGGGGAAAAAGACAGAAAAGAAAAGAGGCAGAGAGAAAAGCGAGAGAGGTGAAGAGAGTGGGAGAAAGCCCCTATCAGAAGAGAGATATTATGTTACTGCTGGCCTGGTAGATTGGATTGTCAGATGGCCCAGTGAGGGGAGAAAAGTGGTTTCTTTCATTCTGGGTCGCTACGACAGAGTCCTTCTCACACAGCGAAAGAATTACAATATGATGTTGGTTGACAGACTGGTCGGAGGACCTAATCACCCCCACGGGAGGTCCAATATCGGGGTGATCCTGGCCTCTGTCAACCTCTTCCATGTTGGGGGAAGAGGTGGGAGTTTCAAAGGCGGTGATGTTATGAAGTCCACAAGGACTGTAAAGCCATCAGCACTGATATGCATCGACAAACCTTCAGATATCACTTCCACAGTGTCATTTCAATTGTGTCCCCTTAAAGACTTATTTATGAGCTGGTATCAGTGAGGGTGAATGCGCACCATATAATGTTACAGAATGTGTAACACAGGTTGAAGACAGTGTTCACTCCGAACAAGAGTTTACTGTGTATTCTCCCCATTACCTTACCTCATCTATCACCGCACACAATCTGCACCTCTCCCTAGCCCTCACTTGCTGATAGCCAAAGGTTGAGAGTATCAGCAGCCCTAAATGGGGCCTTTAACAGCCAGCAGACTTAAGAGAGGAAAAGAAGCAGGTGGGGAAGGAGGGAGGTTAGCACGATTCTATCAGTCCATTACAGACCCCCAAGGACAAAAGCAGCTTCTCTCCCTTTCAGTCTGGCCTAGTTGTGGCCAATGCAGGGCCACTGTGCTCCACATATGGGTACCTGGACAAAGAGGCCTTGATACAGGTGTCAAGAGGTGCCAGTCATTTTGACTGTTGCTTTGTTCCATAGTAGAAAGTAACCTAAAACAAGGGTCAACTCAGCACACAGACCAGAGGCCCCAAAAGGCCTTCTTCTACCATGGCAAGTCGAATGAAAGACCCTATTTGAGTAGACCACAATACATATACGGTTGATGATGTACTAGAATTTAGATGTTCTTTGGATTTAGATCTTGATATCATGTGATGTTCAGCATTCACTGTAGCCATAGGAAATAATGTGTAAAGAAAAAAATATATATTTCAGCTTTGGCTCTAATAGCCCTCCCGGTAACCCCAGTGCTACTTTGCTGGGACAGAGAGAAATATTTTTGTGTGGGGGCCTAGGGGACAGCTAAGAAAAAACAACACACACCTGTTTCCCCCCCTTTTAATGCCTTCCACACCCCCTCCCCTTGGAGCAGCCACTGGGGCATGGAGAGTGGATTGTACCGGTGCTTAATCCAGACGGGCGAGGACAGTGGTATTGTCACCCATTTAGAGGGTGCCGGGGACACGTGGCTCACCCTTTAGCACGCTTGAGGGGGTATGGGTGAAGGCAAGCTGCGGGCCGCAGTGGCAGGTGCTGTGACGGATGTCCTGTGGAGTGCCAAAGCAAACATAGGGAGGCGAGGTGGGGTCAGGGTGGGGCAGTCAGAAGGGTAAAGCGGGTATGGGGAGATTAGTGCTCCATGGCCCTGCCCTTTAGAGACAGGAGAAGGGGAGGGAGAGGTGTGGGCAGTGAAAAAGAGAGGTGTCAGGACACAGGGTCACATTCTGCTGCATCATGCCTGTGCGTTTTCAAGCAAGGTGCCGAATGAATGACCTCAGAACAGAGTCGAGTATGAAATAACGCAAGACAGAAAATGAGAAATGTCCAAGTCAGCTTAAATTCCCCAGCCAAACAAAGAAGCAGTGTTTGCATGGCAATCAACTCTTCATCTACTTAGGCTTGTAAGACAACTTTGAAGTCCAGCTCCAACTTGCAGCAGCACAGGGAGGAAGTATGAATCAGGTAGAGTTTCACTTGCCTCATGTCCTCTAATGGCCCACCCAATCACCAGGACATGAGCATTACACAGAACATGTGCACAGGAAGCCTGGAGGTATTGCTGTTACACAACAGAAACTGGATACGCCTTGTTCGCTAACCTTGGGTCCCTGTCCTGCCCTCAGCCCCCCTTGCACCATTATAAGGGCGACGAAAGAAAGGCACAGAGAATGTGTGAGCTTCAACCTATTCTGGACCGAGCACCGGCGAGCTGTTGGATGAAAGGTTACATGGAGGTTGTGGAGAGATTGCATTGCTAGCCAAAGGTCCTAGAAACATCTGGAAATGTCTTTAATGTTACCATGGTAACGCAGGGGGATAGAGCATTGAGTTGGGGATGTCTGGGAGAGGAGCCAAAGCCAAAGGTTAGCCTGCAGGCTTTGATTTTGATCAGGCAGATCTAGGGGTCTATACTGCCTCTGTCTGACAGTGACAGTGGGCCTGTTTTCCAAAGCTGGACCTTGAAAAGAAAATGGATGGGAGAAATAACCTGATCACAATGTGCAAATACAATCCATTCTCTACTGGTTGCCAGGTCAGTCATCACAGGAAACAGGAATGAGAGTAACAGGTGGTAATATAACTTCCTGTTGCCTTGTCCTGACCATGGATCTTAGGCAGCATCGTAGTCTGGTAAAACATCATAGTTCGACTATCCAACAAGCACTCCAGTTGAAGTATACTGATGCCTTTACTCTATCGTGTATAATTTTTCTTTATGGATCCATGGCATACTGTTCCAAAACCTGGATGTCTACTCAACGAAGCAGTGCATAAGCATTAAACATGAACCGAGGAATGTCTGATAGAAGTTCAGAGGTCAGAACGAAGTATGCCTTGGCAGGGACAGAGGGACATAGCCACCTGGTCATCTGGGTTAATTATAAATGTTGCAGGCCGCAAGGGGAGAAGATGAGCTGGACAGCTGTCTCTCCAGACCCACATATAAACACACACACTCAGGATCACAGCACATATGCATGGTCCGCTCCGTTGAGCACCAGATCCCAGGGGCCCGTCGTGGCCGAAAAGCCCTTCGCCGCAGCCAGGTGAAACTGGGGAAAAGTTCACCGTCGCAGCCGCCAAACTCTTTTTCACTCTCTCTGTCCTTCTCTGTCCCTCTCTGTTTCTTTCTTAGAGCCTCCCACGGAAATACAAGATGTTCCTTGGATTTGTCTACTGTAATTCTCTGGTATTCTCATGACTATCCTGGTAGGAAATAGACCTTAGAGGGACTTTGGAACATAGAAATAACTGATTTATAAAGAGTTAGACATTGTTGATCAGGTGAGGAAATGAGCAGAGCAGAGATCAATGCTCGAGGGGTGAAATTCTTATTATTTGTACCTTATTAAGTTGAAAAATTCTGTCTTTTGTCTCAAGGATAATTTCAAATAGGGTATGGAGAATTGATTTCAGTAATATATATGAGGGGAGGGTTGTACCTCCTTGTCCCCATACGATAGTCACAGATAAACAAACACTGAAGATGTTCATAATAGGGCCTATTTTATTCAAACAGCAATTTGTCACAGCCTCCCCTTTGCTGTGCCCATGGGTCTCTGTGCTAACAGGTTGTGCTCGGTTTAATTGTGAAATAAGTGTTTCTCTGTTCACAGGCAGCAATCGGAAACCCCACAGGTGCACAACGCACACCAGCACACACACTGGTTGATCGTGACATGGTGATGAGCCGCACAGCGACAGAAAAAGGACACAGAGGTACTGCCACTGAAGGGGGAAGAGAAAAATAGCAAAGCGATGGGAGAAGATGAGTAATGGTAAAGGTGACAAGGAGATGGAAAGTGATGGATAGGGATACGTGTTAAAGAGACACCAAGAGAGTGAGAAATATGAAATTGAAAATCAAGCAGGAAATAGAGTAGGGGTGATCATTTGCCAAAGAGACTGATACCAGCCATATGTCTTCATCACAGGTTATGAAACTGGACACACATCGGATTATGAGTATCAGTCACATTCAGCACCTGTGTTTTTACTTGATAATATTTCACTGGCTGAGTGTTGATGGAGGTAAAATGATAAGGCTGATTATTTTTTGCTGATCTTGTACATAGAGCAAAATGCACTGCTCGAGACATCAGACACACACAGCCACTGAAAAATTATACTGCTGTCCCTGCTGATAGCAAGTTACATGAAGTATGTCTATGTTTTTTTCTGCCAGATACAAGAGATCTAGAAAGCAGACAGTTGAGCTTGAGCTTTTGTGAAAGCATTGTCCAAAAAGGCACCCCCCCACCATCACCACCACCACCACCCCATGAAAGAGCTTTACTGTATGCAAGTGTCCAGTGACTGGAAAAGCCATTGCAGTAAAGTGGAGGAGTAATCCTGGCAGGGCCTGTCTTTTCACTTAGGAAACCCATAAGAATCCAAGCCCTGAGCAGAATGCCTCCCCTGACGCCCATAGCTGAGATAGCGAAGACGGCAAAGAGGGCCACTGTGTTTGAAATAAACACAAAACCTGTGTCCACTGGGCACAATAAGACTGAGTCTGGCTTAATCACTCTCATGGCAACAAGGGAAAACTTTATTTACGTTGCAAACAAGTGTGCGTGTATGACTGCTTTGTCTGTGTGTGTGTGTGTGTGTGTGTGTGTGTGTGTGTGTGTGTGTGTGTGTGTGTGTGTTTGAATTTTTTTTTAAGGAGTGCACATTTGAAGGATGCACCCAAGGACACATCGCATTAATATTATACCCTTCCTCCAACCTTCTCCTAGCATGAATGCCAAACCATACATAGGAAAAATCCACTAGTCATTTTTTGATTGTCATACTAATATGCATCTTTTGAAGTCCAATCCATAAGGATCAGCACACTTCACTCTAATGTTGTTTGTCAGATCCAAGCAGAGGAACATGCTTAGCCTTTCATTTCCAACCGCACAATGACAGCTGGGCACAATCTGCTGTGTATCAACCATGCCAACTCACTTCTTCTCACAGGCATCTGCCTTTGAGAAATGACAATGTCACCTGTCACTCATGAGCACCATTAAACCAATCAGGCCCCCAGGAGATCTGATTAGGTGGGCCTGCTAGGATTTAACTGAGTAAGAAAATGAAATGCCCTGCTGTTGTCCCTGCTTATCATGCCTGAAATCGGCTGTCAACAGCACACTGAAGTTGGCCAGAAACACAAGATAAGAAGTCTCCGGTAGAGATGTGGTCTGATGAAATGTTTCATGGGTACATAGATTCATTCTGAAATGTATGTTTTGTTAAATTGTGCAGTAAGTGCTCAGTAAGGATCAATAAAGTAATTTAGTTGATGGCAAAATCTTCTGCTCTGTTATGACTTGATGTTGTTGAACATCATATGATCATCATAATTCGTGTTTCTTGTATATTTGCCAAATTTAGTGATAGTAACCAACTTATGAAAGTCCTTCAGCTCAGAAAACTTGAAAACGTCCTGCTGAAGTTTTTGCTTAGCAAGTCTTTTAGTTGCACCAAGCTTCAAGGGCGATCTGTAATCAACTCTGAACTTTGAACTTTCCAGAATAAAAAGAGACATTCCTTGTATGAGTCCTTAATAGAGCACAATAAAAACAGTTCAATCTTCTATCAAAACACAACCTGAAAATGATCACTTTGCTTATATCACATCTCAGTCTGAGACACAACTCTCTCTGATCAGAGAAGCGGGCCTCAGTCACCCGGCTACAGCATCCAGCCGCAGCCAAACAAAGCAAAAGTGCCGATCAGCTGCAAGTTGAGCCCAGCTGTTGCTGGGGCTGGGAGACGTGGAGCAGAGAGAAGGGTGGGGTGGCGACTAAATGTCCAGCACAGGGAGAAGGGAAGGGGTGGTGGTAAGGTGGCAGCGGCGGTGGGAGTGCAGAAAGGGAATACAGGGGATGGAAGGGATCAGGTTGGAGTGTGGGATGAGGGATCGGGTGATGTTTGGCCATGGCCTGGGGAAGTATCATATGCGACACCTTCATGCGAGAAGGTTACTTTGGGGCTGAGGCAGCCTCCTGGACCACAGGCCTCAGGAAAAGCTGACGGATACACATACACAAGTCCACACAAACAAATATGCATACATGCGCACAAACACACCCACACAATCTCTGCTCACATTCACACACAAACATTCAAAGATGAAGGCAGTCAGTGAATCACATTCTCAGCAAAAGTCCCGTTTGCCAGCACACACACACACACTCATTGATTAATCCATATGGGCTAGCACAAACACAGCAGCGTCTAACAGCTGAATGGTGAAATTGGAGGGCTCCACCCAAACAAAGCTTAGCAGGTCACAATCAGTTCAATAGTCTGCTGTCCCTTGCAGGGCCTTGGGATCATAGGAACTCTGCACCATGTGCAAAATCCTTGGTACTGTTTTATAATCTCATCAAAACAGACACTGCACTCATGTGATAGCAAACATTCAAGCAGGAAATAATAAGATAATATAAAGCAGAAGACCACTGAAACATTTGGCATATCAAAAGATAGTCTTTCCATATGATGCAGGAAGCATTCCTACTGCTACAAGGATAAAAGAATCCCATCAATCTTGAATGTCAGGTCATCACTGCAGCCATCATTGTGCCAAAAGATGAAAAGGACACTTTCTACTTTATCTATATATCTATCACTCTTTCATCCATCTATCCATATTGGATCATCTTTAGCACTTTTATTGTGCATTTATTACAAGGATAATTCAGCTGAGCTTACAGAAACTCCTTTTCCTCTGGATCGAAGTGCCCAATCAGCAGGTGGTGGTCTGGCGATTGACATCTGAGCGAGATGTGATCACAGATAGCCCTCCTGCTCTATTCCACCTGGAGCTGGCCCGGGACTCATGACTGACAGCTCTGCTCTTAATAATTCATCCGGCCCTGGGTGTCTGAAGGTCAGAAGATCATCTGCTTGGGCTTGGGCGCTGAGGAGAGGTGGCACTGTCATCAAATATTCATTGACCTGCTGTACTCCCAATACACTCTCAAAATACACAATCTCCTTCGCTAAACACAGCACAGATTCGCACCCAGGAGCTTCTGCGGAACGGCACAGATACTGTTTGACTGTGTGTGTGAGGGTTACTGGTTGTGGAAGTGGGGTACAAAGGACTGAGAGTGTCTGTAGGTGTGGTGTGTGTGCATGGTTTATTTTATGCATATGGAGTATGAGTCAGCCAACAGACATAATTGTTGATGAGCCAGTGTGTTATCCATTTTTAATTGCACAGCCAGATGGAAAATAGCACTGAATGCACCAACACTCAGCATTACAATGCTGTTAATCTAGTATTTTATGCAATCACAGAGCAATACTGTGAATGAAATTACAGATACTGAAAGGGAAATTCTGGCATTTGTCAACCTGCGTATGTTTCTCATATTTTTGTCAATTATCGCTAATGGTCATAACAGTTGTTTACTCAATGCCTTCTTTGTAGAGATTTAGGGGGAATCGTGAAGTCAAGCAAGAATGCCATCACTCATGGCAAGGAAAGTTTGCTTCTTCCAGATTTACAAAAAACGTCAGTGCTACAAAGGTCATCTCAGTCTCATGAAAATCCCCTTAGAATGTATGCAAAGCATAGCGGATCCATTCCCTGGTCAACGTCCTAACTGACGCACACACACGCCAGTTTGTTTCCTTTAGGGTGAAGCCGCGCCAAGCTTTCAAAATAGCGGATATGAGTGAGATAAAGTGATTACGGTCTCCAACTTTCCCAGTTGCAAAACTAAAATGACAACACTACACACTGTGCAGTTTATGTTGCACAATGCTATAAAGCAAGACCTAAAAATATAATATGATAATAATACTAGAATCTCCCTTTAAAGAAAATATCTATAAATTAATAAAGCAGCACAGCACAGTCCATATACCAGCCACAGCATTAGTCAATTAATTATAATTGGGAGTACAGCAAACCTCCAAAAAGCTGTAACGAATCATCTGACCCATTACAACCCAGAAAGTCACATTTCTGGTTCCAATTCAGAGTAAAGTGTTCATATGAAATATTTTGTGAGCAGAAAGAACCTCCATATGTGGACATGTCTCCACCAGTCAAGCCCAGCAGCTGTAGAGACGCCAGCAGAACTGATGACCTAATGCTAGTCCTGCTTCATCATGATCACTCCTGAAGGAACATACACACACACTCACACACACTGAAATACACATCCCCTCTCTGAAGCCAAGGCATTACGCTCCACTCACTCCCAGATTTCAGGCAGGTGCTGCTGTTGTTTGTCGGAGCGTTTGGCAGCGCAGTCTTGGATTGCAGCATTTTGGTGCATCTGTATCAGCTTGATACAAGTAATTACGTGTTCCTAGTGGTATGCTGCAGACCTAACTCACAGGCCCTAACTGTTCCAGTACAAGGTTTCTCAATCTGAATGTGGAGTCTATGAATGTTTTATGCCTCTTAAAGAATGACTGTTTGCACATGGCAGAGTTATCTAACTGTATTCAATATCGTTGTGTGTGTGTATGCACTCGTGTATCCATCTGCATACTGTTATGGTCTTTTGTGAGTGTACATAAAATACACGTGGTCCTTCGGGCGGTTACGCCAAAACACCTAGGTGTGAAGGAAAATAGTGTGTTTCCTCAAGGTTTTGGAGAATGAATCATGCAGCAACATTTTGAGGGTCTGCTGCTGCTTATAAAACTGCATGTCACACTTTAACAAACCAAACTCAGAGTCAGGGCATGGAGAATAGTGATACACTTAGGTGTGTGACTGGAGCAAGAGTGCGTGGTTGTGTGTAAAACTCTCTTAACAATTATAGTCTGCCTGTAAGAAGTTTCCATTGTAAATTACAAAGTGATTTTATTCATGAGGTAAGACAGGGGTTGTTTATCATGCAGTAGGTGAGTGAATATCTGCCTCAGATCGAGTCTACTCATGCATGAGTGTGGAGTAATTTTCTCCTGCTTAGAGGCTGATGAGTTGTGCATGTTTGACTGGAGGCGTGCACATCGGAGGTGGATGTGTCCACAGTGACACAGTTGGTGCAGTGCCAGGGAGTGGAAGTGAGTTTGGGGGAGCAAAGAAGAAAGAGGAGAGGAGAGTTTACTAAGTCCAGATGTCTTGTGTTCACTAATACAATCTACCTCAATAAACCTCTGGGGGAACACATTTGTATAGCTTTAATACCTTTGATCAGCTCTTTTAGTTGAGTATCTTTTTGTGAAGGATTGTCATCCCACATTTTAACATCAGGTCTGTTCACACCTTTATCTAAGTATTTGTGAGGCAGGGTTTGGATATTAAAAATAGTGTGTTAGGCTGATGGCACTCACACTATGCATGTGGCACAGTGTGATGTAACATGCTATAATTTCCTATCCAGGCCATATAATTTACATCTATGTAACTCACATTAATTAGTCAGATTGATGTAACAGAAATGTTAAATTACCTAGCCGGTGATATATTTTGCTTGCTATTTGGCACACTGCTGGAGATGCCACAGTTACATTAATTGGCTTTCTGAATAGCCTTGAAAGC